CACACACACACACACACACACACACACACACACACACACACACACACACACACACGCTTGCCGGTATCTTCACATATATGCACACAAATGAAGATCAAAAACCTTTTTGGCACCTAGTCCACACTGCCTGCAAGAATGCAGAGATTTTTCTCTTCTGAAGTGTAAAATACTGTATATACACTGTGTTTTGATGCTCCAAGAAACCAGCCTTTCTTTCGTCAAACTATGCAACTCTATGAAAGGATGAGGGAAATCTTCTGTGAGCCCTTTACGTCTTAAAATGTTATGGCATAAGTTACGTCTGTCGAAAATGTCTGCGGGGTGGCAGCTAAACACAACAACCCGCTCCCTCCTCCACTGGCTGTGAGTGATATTTCATAACCTCTATAATCTGTGGATGGAGGAGCAGACAGATAATCCCATCATAAGGGAGGGAAACACTGGACTTTTCCTAATCATATTTTGTTTGTAGCAGCTCTGGAAGAGAGAAATCCCTACTGAACATCATTTTGACACATCATGAATCTGCCTATCCTACAGGCCACGGTAGAGGAGCCCAGAGGAAGTAGGGCAACACAGACTTTATCAGATCATAAAAGAAATTAATTAATCTTTAAAAAAAAAAAGATTCAAAACAAGTTTATGTTGTTGGTAATTTAACATTTTAAACACTTTGTCTTGGCCCAAGTGTGAGGACCTGAGCATAGTACCTTTGAAAAAACTGTCCTGAGAGCCAGCTGAGTCCTCCATTCTGCAATAGGTGACTGGTAGAATGAGACCAGACTAGATCGGACTACACAGGTCAAGACGACAAAAACACAGTCTCACTCAAGCCCAGTCCAGCCCAGGCCATTCAGATGAATGTAAGAATCAGCTTAAACTGAGTTAAACCTTACCCAGCTAAACATCAGTGCTGATGCTACAGCTGCGTGTGAACATGTCCCTCATGGTAACTGAACGGGCAAGGTTTGGTTTACGATAGTTTGAAATGTTTACAGGCACTGGCAGGTCCAGATCCTGCTGCTGGACACTGCGATAGCTGATCCGGTCCCCTCCGTTCCTCAACCCATCTGGTTGGTGGTGGAGCTGCGGCTGAGGTGGCTGGAGGTAGAAAGGCATCTCATAGTGTGTACAGGATGGGCAGAAGGTCTGCGATCGTGTCAGTTTCCTGGCCATTGGAGGGGTGGAAAAAAGGGCAGGGCCATTTGGGATGGAGGAGGCGGCGGCTGTAGCCGCCACAATGTTGTGATTGGAGTGAACCGGCGGGAGGTGAGATGTAACGGCAAAGTCTGGCTCCTCCTCCTCCGACTCAGACTCTTCCTTCTTGCAGCAATAATACTGATAGAAACAGAGGGACAAAAGTGGGAGATGGGCAAAGATGAAAAAAGTGGTGACGAGAGAAGAAAGAAGAAAAAGTACCAAATGATGTCAAATGTGCACGAGAAAGAGCTGTCTCAATGATCACTCAATTATCTCTTGAGGGGTTCTCTTGTGTTGTAAACAGACTCCAGTTTGCAGCTGAGGTATTATGGTTGTGGTATGACCTAGCTTTCAAATTAATTCCTGGCATCTTGCCATCTAATATCTGCTGTAATTTGGGGATTACTTTTGATCCAGAGAAATGTTGTCAGGAAAGGATCTTACAGTTTCCCTTCTAGCTATGTTACCTGGGTTCCCAGAGGATCACGGTAAATGGACTGCATTTATGTAGTGCTTTTATCTGAGAAGCTTTAAACCTTGCTTCTTATTCATCTTTTCACTCCCACAGCACACACACTAAGTTACTATTCATAGGCCCCTTCACTTTTTGTACACGTAAAATGAATTTAACTAATTCACACTTAATAACAATGATTTTGGGGGCTATTTTCTTTTAAAGAGAGAAATGAAAACATATTTTTAATTAAAATGATTTTGCTACTGCACGACAAAATCGGTTCAGATAAATTAGAACCTGAGGGAAGTCTACCTGTGGCAAACTCCCACAGGTAATGCTGAATGTTAGCATGAAAATCGAGAAAACTGAGGAATTCTCTGTGAGACAAGGAGCAAATGTGTAAAACCATTTATAAAGCTTAGGCCTTAATAATTGTGATATGAAAGAAGAGTGGAACCACCAGGTATCCTCCTCGAGTTGATTGTTAGGGAGGCATCCAAGAGCTCAACCTTCACTTTAACAGCTCCTCAGCAGAGACGGGAAAGACAACTACCTCAGCAGCAACTCATCAACCAGTGCTTAAAGATGTCCAAGTCAGTACATATGGCAAACACTTGGCCTTGTTTATTACCTTGCTAAAATGAGGCATGGTTGTTACTGTGCCAAAAATGACAGTCTCTACTTTCTGAAGGGAGAAAAGAAAGACGTGTCCCAACACATACTGTACTCCAAGGCTGTGGTTCACTACTGAAATCTTTGCCATTCTGCCTGCTGTCCACATCTTGCTCAGTTGCACAGGTGTGGAAATGAATGCCAGTATTGATGTGTGTCAGCAGCCAACAACGTTAGGTAGATTTTTAGCTCGCCTACAGACCGCTGAAAACTACTTTAGGTGATTGCTAAGATTCCTTTCCTGTTTTTCATACAATTTGTTTGGTAACAAAAAATGAAATAAGATTGTTCAAATTGTGATGAACTTACAATAATTGTAATGAGTTTCTAATCCTGGGCTGACAGAGCCGGGGGTCTTTGTCCTCTGTCCGTTTTATGTTTTGAATGATCAGTTGTGTAATTAAATTTTTTTTTGAAAACCTTGCTCTCAATTGGTTTTCTGTTTCCACTAGAATCAGATACAATTGACAATGCATTAGCATAGTTTTACAGATTAAAGCAGCATAATTACTCAACTCAAAGTACAATCTCTTACCTGCAGTTCTGCAAAAAGTAAATAGAATGAAGAAAACAGATGATGAAGTCTCACCTGCAGCCTACAGTAGCACAGTACTGCGATGATAAGGAGTAATATAACCGAAGCTAGAATTCCACCAGTGATGACCACAGTCCCGGCTGTCATTCGAATTGCTCTCCATCAACACCCTGCAAAGAGGAAGAGGAGGGAAGGAGGGGAAGAAAGGAAGAGACAGGGGGTGGTGGTGGGTGGAAAGAGTTGGAGCATAGAGGAGGGTACGGGGTGAAATGAAGGAGCAAAAAGGCACACAATTCATCAGTTCAGTAGCTTCATTAAGTAGATTATAACTGTGTGTCATCTCAGTGGTGCTTATTGAATTATCCAGCAGCTAGGAGACATGTAATAGAATCATCCCACAAGTGCTGCTTATAATATAGACAGCATCTCAGACTGAAACACGAAGTGTGTGAGTGAGGGGGAGAATCTGTTTAGCGGGAGGACGGAAAAAAAGGATGAATTGCAGAAATGTCGAGAGGAACGAGGTAAACCGTTGCACAGATAGATGAGGAGAGATGCAACTACAACAGGGTGCAGTCAGTTTGGAGAAATGATGCGGCAAGTAAAATTTGCAGTCAAGCTCACCGAGATATTCTTCATGCTGCTGTGGTTCAACAAAGAACTGATAGGAACCCGTCCAAAAACAATATAATGTGAGGTGGTGTGCAAAGCAGATCATCAAAAGATCAGTCAGCAGGACTGTTGCAAGTAAACAGCCGTGACCTGTGAATTCGGATATTAAGTCAAAGGTCATAGCAAAGAGAAATGCAAATGCAAACCCAGGAAATTTGAAAGTGGATTTATTAAGTTATAGCATATTACAGTGCTTCTTTTATGTGATTCACAGCTTCCAAGCCACAAGTCAGATTGGAGTATTTTTGATCGATACTTGTTGGCTGAAATTTCTTGGTTTACATTTCACATCAAGGTGGAAATTATGCAGCGGGAATTCTACAGAATATCATAAGAAGACAGGTCCATTAGCTCCGTGGTTCCATTTAAGACGCTAAAATAGTGAAAGTAATCACACAGTGGTGTATAATTCATATGTTATTATTCAACCTCAGTGATATGTAATATTTTTGAAAAACCTTGAAGGCACTTATCAGATGAGGGCACAGACCTTTTCCCTTCATTATAGCCGCAATCTGGAAGTGTCATAGAACCGCACCAACACACTACATTGTGGATAATTGCTTGAAACCAAAAATAGGCCAGCAGGCTTGTTGCTAAGCTATGACTCATTGGTGCAAGCCATTAACAGCAACAAGCACACTGCAGCATAGGTCTATGTTGTCAAGATCTAACTTGAATGTGACATGGGCAAACACTAAAAAAGAAATACTAAAAATAAACAGGACTGCCACCAAATCTTGCAGTATCCAGTTTACCCTGACTTCTGCTTTCATAACATGATGCGAGCAATGCTGAGCATCCATCAGCTTACTCACATTAAGTTTACTGTCAGCTGTGTGTCACTGGGCATTTGGTATTTAGTATGACACCTGACACAGTGACCTTCTCACACAGTCATTAGATTTAAGTGAAACTGTTTAAACCGTAGACTGTATAAAATAATCTCTCAGCATGATGTGAGATGCTTTATAAAGTCAGAATAGATGTCTCTATGGTAGCTACCAGCCCTATCGACAAACACAGCACAGCTTCTCCTCACTCAAGCTTCAATTCAGCTGGACTCTAATTCAATCTGCAGGCCGCACAGTGCACCAACCAAATCAATATGGAGGACAAGAAAGAACAGAGCGTTTTGGCCTTAAAGGCTTCTAGTTTAATTGATAGGGAAACGAGGTGATTCGATGGCAATATGGTTGCCAGGAAAATAAGAGAACAGGATGTTCAGGTGGCGCTAAGCAACATTTGTGTATCAATGTTTTGCACCTTTATTTAGTAGAGTGCATAAGAAAAGTGACAGAACAATGACAGTGGCTAGGCTAAGCCTAGTAGTTTAATGATTTGCGTGCAGACTATCAGACCTTGAAATGTTTGAGTTTTATTTATTTATTGATGAGCTTAAAACTACACTAACATTTTGTTATTATTGTAAAATACTGTAAAAATATACCCTGTTTTATTTGATTTTATAACCTGCAACCTTACTTTTTTTTGGGCCACTCTTACTGCAGGGGCTCTTTTGGATGATTGCAAGCAGCTGTTTTAAAGACCAATTGTCTGCCACCTTCCAGCTTCAAGCAATAGATAAGCTGAATGAATAGCAAGTCAACAAAGTTAATTATTTATCATCTTTCTCCAGAATCTGTGGGCAATATCCTGGATGTTCATGGACAATATGAAGATGAAAGCCAATGTTGCTCTGACAAAAAAAAGTTTCTGCCTAAAATATGATATGCTGGTCTTTAATAATCAGTTATTATTAAAGTTAAAGACTTCTTAAATAATAAATATATAATAATAATGATGATAATAATAAAAAGATGGGCACATGAATTAAAAAGTTATATGTTTAGGGTGCTGGGGCAGTATAAATGAGTATTATTTAGTCTGCAGCATTTACCTGCATCCTTTTAAGACCACAGGGCACAGCTTTATAAAGGTGGAATTAGATTTAAGGACGACTGAAGACAACATCGCGTAACAGATGATCCCACTATGTGTGCAGACCTGTGTGGCCTCATTTAAGTAACCAACACAGATTCTCAAGCACCTAATAATTAGTGCTGCTTATACTCAGCCGTCTGAATCCCTTCAGTGCAAACTCATCATGAGACCAGATCATCAGTGTTGGGCTTTTAGACCTTAATATCAATTTTCAATCTGAAAACCTTGACTAGTGTCTTTTTTGTTTCACCAGCAGATGGTGACATAGAGCAGTACACGGCCTACAAAAACAGGTTTCAAAAGGAAATGATCAAAATTACATTTAAATTTTAAAATAAAATACTAGAAAGTTAGTTGTTGTTTTTTTTTGTTTGTTTTAGAAAATAACACTTGTCTACAGACAATTAAAAATGCATCCTCTAAATGTAAATGAATCTTAAAGCCAAACATTAAGCTCAAACAAGACTGAGATAAAATTCCAGTTATAGTGAGATAAATTTAAAATGAAAAGAACAGAAAATAAAACATTCCAAAAGTATAAATAAATAAATACCAGTGAAGAAAAAAATGAATAAAAGCTGTAATAAAGATTAAAAGAAGACAACACAAGTAAGTCAAAAAAAGAAGAAACCACTGACTCTGCATGTGGGATCTGCTCAGAGAGCATGCTCCAAAGTCAAGGAGCCCTGATCACAAAAGTACAGTCACAACCACTTTTATATATTACTAACTATTCTGCTAGAGTGTCTGTATAGGTCCTCTTTTTTTATTTGTAGGACTTGTTTATATTTTATGAATAATTTTAAAAATCAAACCATAGAGCCACGCTCCAAACAGCTACCTTGCGGTCATATGTCTTATCACCATCTGTCAGAGGTACCAGGGGGATCTGCCAGGTCCGGGATCCCCATCGTCAATCCTCGGCATCTCAACATTGTGTGAGATTCTCAGCAACACCTCACACATCAGCACACATCATATATAAGCATGAACAACGTAAGAGAAAAATTAGCTGGACTGCCAACATTAGACTGTTGCCCTTAATAGTCCATATGTGAAATCAAATGTTCCTTACATGTGTAGGTGCATTATACAAAAAAGTTCCTTTGTAAAAGACATTACTGTTGTGCCAGTTGCAGCTTGCTTAATTGAAGTGGTTTGTCAGGCACCAGGCCAAAAGAATGAGCACATGCATGATCAGGACTGCGTGCACATAATTCTGACTCGGTGTCATACAAATCCTTTTCTGTCTTGTCTCAAATGATGATTTGTGGACTGAGCTGATTTCTGACTTTTCTCACTGATATTCCTTCATGAAAGTTATTATGGTGTGCACAAAAACACACACACGTGCATGTAGCATTTCTCATTCTGCAGGCTAGGCTGGTGCTGTGTATCTCCTGGGGCTACATTAATCAGATCAGTGTGTGAGCGATGTGTTGCAGCAAGGCGACAAACAGTGTTAATTATTTAACCACACACACTCACGCTCGTGCGCGCACAGACGCGTGCATATACGCAATCCAGACCCCTTTGTGAAATAGTGAAATACTGGAGAGAGGCAATCTTGTCCACTCAGCTGCTTTTGCTGGTATTCGTCCATAGGAATGACAAGAGTTAGGGGCAAAAGAAGAATAGCCGTGTGCACACTCGCACACAAACACACACAAACACTCACATGCAATAATTTTAGTAGTAGCTAACATGCTCAGACAGAGGGCTTTGGAATAAAATGCCACGCTTCGATGAAACATGGCAGGGATCACAGCAAAAGGTCTTGCTTGGAATAATGGCTGCTGACAGGCTTTCAGTTCAGTGGGGAAGAAGTACGCAGTAGGTGGTGGATTCGAGTAACACACACAAGAGACAATAACATGCCCTGAGAACAATGGGAAGAGCTCTGTTATAATGGTAGCTGTCAAAGGGTGATTTTACACACATTTACAACGACAGAGTGTACCTACACATGGTTTTTTACGGAAATGACAAGATCCAAAGCCTCCTGAGAAGTATGCATTATTTAGCGAAAGAAGTGCTCATGTTTCTGCTCCAGTAGCTCCAGTTTTCAATCTCACAATCTTAACTGGTAACAAAGTTCCAAAATATGAATATAGGGACACGCAGAAAACAACAATGCCTCATCAACTCTGTCTGATTACAGTTTTTTGGCCCGTAATGAGTCCTTGCTCTTTAATAAGCTGTGCAATCAGGGAGCATTCAACTAGTATAAATGACATAATTTCAACCTGCAGGATGTATACTTTTATTGGAAGACATTATGTCATTTTGTTCGTCATTTTGTTTTGAGGCTTTGGTTTCTGTATTAATTTTGTAAAAAGCACATCTTGTGGCCTTACTTCTCCATTTTTGTACCTCTCTTCTGTCCTCCTGCCTGTGACCTGGAAAATGAGGTCAGAAACTCAATTCCTGAAGTGCATCTCAAAGAGAGAGAAGTTTTACGGGAGAGTGGGGATGCATAGGTGTATCATTTGCAAACGTTTCTTTGAAACCTGTGATCTAACAGGCATGACACACACAGAGAAAATGTGTTCCT